TCCGAAAACAAAGCTCCCAAAATCTATAAATACAACCCTAGGACCTTTATTTGCAGGATCTGGAATTCTCGAGCCTTGACGAAGCCCTGCTGAATTAGAGACTAAAGAGCCATGAATTTCAGAGAGAAGGAGGAGGCCTCATCGAATTCTTCGGCATAAAGAAGGAGAGTTCGACAGATCTGTAGCCCAGTTCTTCCCTTGAGATCGCACCATTGCTGTGATTTCGAGAAGAGTGGTTATCTCACTGTTGTCGAGATAATTGCTTCGATTTCTCGACTCTTTCGTGAGTCAACGTAATCTGCACTTTGATCTGATCCGAGGCGGTCTACGGATAAACCCCAGCACATGCAAAGATCCCACGCAAACAGCGGGTGATAAACGTCCGTTGTGTTTGTTTTGACGAGAGTTGTAATTTTTCGTTTTTATTGTGTAAGAGTCTTATAAAAAGACTATCATTTTGTTTTTATTGTAACGACTGAAGTTGTAATGAATAACTCCATAAAGAAATCAATTTTTGACCAAAACAATTTCCTAATGCGAAAGACGTAATTTAACATATTATATATGACAATCGCATTTCTCGATAAGACAGAGCCATCCAGATTAACAGATTTTAGAAATTTTATTAGTAATAGCAGATTATGATAGAAATCTAAATTTAATTAATATATATTCAATTATTTGAAAGGCCAGGCTAAATTCTAAGAAGCCCAAGAGCATTTAAGAGAAGCCCAAGAGTCTTAAATGAATTAAATGCAAGAGAAATGAAGCTCACAAAACTCATTTTCTAACTATTGAATCAATGGTGTAAATTATTTGAGAAATTCTATGGTTGTGAGGGTTACTCGGGGCATATGCCAAGTCCTATGGTTATGAGAGTTATTTTGGGCCAAGACAAAGCTAAGGGTTGTGAGAGATTTTTGTTATCTATAAATAGAGGGGTTAGAGTGTGGATTTGAGAGTGTGCAAGATTTTGTAAACACCTCTTTAAAGAGGAGGACCTTTAATTAGGCCTTCCAATTTGTAAACTTTTTAAGTTTGTAATAAATAAAATTTTCCCCTCCTTTTCAATTATATTTCTTCTTCTTTGTTGATGAAGATGAAGATTTACTTTTAAGGGGCTACTAAATTTTTATTTTATCTTTTATTTTTTGTTTTAGGATTTTACTTTCTTTTTATTGTTATATTAATAGATTAGATTTATTTAATGCCTTGTAGTGTACTCACACTCTTTTATTTTTGGTAGTTAGATTTCTTTTATGCTCATAGTTTAAATCATTATTTCCTTATTCTTGTTCCTACTCTTGGTAGTTAGTTTTTATTTTTGATCTCTTTATTTTTTGATCTCTTTTCTTTTATGCTTTCTAGTCTCCATTTTATTTTCTAAAATGTGCAACTAAATCTTATAGGAACTCTACAAGTATATGAAACTAGTTTGATTTTTTTATGAGTTACTCTCCTAGTGCTCAAAATGATCATACTTAGGATAGTCAAGTAGATAGCTAATTCGTGAAAGAAAAATTTGATAATTTATGCTTATCTTGAGTGGTTTGATAGGTTATGCTTATGAATTCTAAAATTACTATTTAATTGATGTTCTTTTCATGAATGAAAAGCTTACTTGGATAATAAATAATATGTTATGCTTTCCTTAAGTAATTTAATAGTCTATGCTTAGTAAATCTAAAGTAAAATGTGATAAAAAGAAAGCAGTTAATAAATCCTAAATAAAATTAATTAGTGGATTCAATTCTAGATTCCTATCTTCTCTCTTGATTTCCTCCATAATTTTTTTTTATTGTTCCTCTTTTTGATTGATTTTTCTAGTCTTGATTTGCTATTCTTTTCTATTTTCTTTATTTCCTCCTTGTTACTCTTTATTTTCTTTTATTTGATCACTCTCTTTCTCACTTCTTGTCCTAGCTTACTTTCATATATAAATAATCACACACTCTTTATATCTCTTTATTTTCACTCCTCTTTGTCCACACACGACTCTAGGATCCGGCTTAGAATATTTTATACACACTTTCCTCATGAGATTGACATTGTATCTATACTATAATTTGATTGTGTACATACAATCTCGATACTATTTTCACAACACATAAATGATGAACAATTAAAAGAGATTGCCAGCATAAAAAATAAAATAGAAGAACAAAAAAAATTCTTAATCAGCCATAATCTGGAGATACATTAAGCTTCATTTGGATACCATGGTATTTTTCTTGTTGTGTTTTTATAAAAAACACCATGGTGTTGTGTTTTTCCCTTAAAATATTTTTAAAACACCATGTTAAGTATTTTTAGTCAACACTAGTTTGACCCATTATAACATTAGTATTAAACATATTATTAATATATTATATATTAATTATAATAAATACATTATAAATAAACTGTTATAATATTTGTTTACATTGTTATAGTATTATAAGTGTTAAATATAATGCAATATAAAATTGTATAATAATATTGTATTGCATTTTAATGAGTTATATTATATTATAATTATTACATATTATTTTGAAATAATTATATATTTATTTATTTTGATATATCAATTTGTTATTATTATATATTATATAATATTTTATAATAATATTATTTTATTATTAATATAATTTTATACTATTATTAATATAATAAATTTATTTATTAAAAAGTTAATAATATTATAGCGATTATACTATTATATAGTATATTATTATATAATTATTATATTATTATTTATTATAAATAAATTTTTATTATTTGTTTTAGTTTATTACAATTTATATTTTATTATTATTTATTATTATATAATACATTATTAACATATTAAATACTAGTATTTAATATGTTATTATATTATTATATAAGATATTTTATTTATTATGTTTTTATATTTTTAATAAATATTACTAATATGTTAGATTAACTATAACGTAGTATAGTATAGTATAATAAGTATGTTGATAATATCTATATATTAATTACACTTAATATACTATGTTAGATATCATATTAACACCTTCTCAAACTCAAAGCCAAAACACCAATTTAAAACACCTAAAGGTATTTTGAAGAAATCAGCATTAGAATGCACACGAAAGCAAGAAGGAATTTGAGAGGGTTAAAATCTTATACGCATATCGGATCAATTTTGAATTGATGTGATATAATCCAAATTTTCATATCATAAGCAACAAATGGCTTGTCTTGTATTATCTGTGCCCCCCCCCCCCCAAAAAAAAAAGAACTTTAGCAGGTAATCAAAATCAAATATGAAATAAAAATTACTAAATGCAACTAGCAAATTGGTTTGACTTTGATAATATTACTTATTAGTTTTCTTAATGACATCACTTATTAGTTTTATATAAGGGGAAATTTGCATGACAACTTTGACCGAATCATAAACCTTTTGCGGGTGTTTCTTTCTTTCCCCTCGTGTTAGTCTTCTTCAATTGTTTATGTTAAATTATCAAATTGCAAATTTTTGCAACATCTCTTTATCAGATTAGTGTTTTTTTCCTCGCACTGGTAACTTTTGGTATGAAGAGTCCACCAAATATGCAATTAGACATTTTCTTTGACGACCAACGCCGAAAAATTGGCTGAGTAAAATACATCTGGCCTCAGGTGACTAAATTTGAGTGATGTTAAAATGCCAATGTGGCTGTGTTTAAATCAAATGATAGTGTTTAAATCAAATGATAGTGTTAAATTAACACTGATTTTGCCAAGTTCCCGAACTTCTCTAACTCGCAAAGATGGAAAGAGAGAGATGGACTTTTGATGCCAAAATTCCTTATTTTATGTGCGAACTTTTCATGGGTGGGCTAAAATTAATAATTTAACGTCTAATTGCATATTTCATGGACTCTTAATACCAAAAAGTTGGCAATATTAGCCTTTTGATATATGTTGTTTAATCAACACGATGACGGTTTTACTCGGTATTATTATGTTCACAATATCAACAGAAAAAAAATTAAAACCATTGATCCTTCTACAGTTGGAAAATGATGGGAACTTTTCTTTATGAACGCCAGGCCCAGCAAAAAAAGGAAAGGCCCATTTCTACCACAGAACCCCAAACAAAAAGCGCGCGCTCTGGTAGGAATTCCCATCAGCATTTGATAGCAAAAGAAATCAATGTCGACGGTGTTAGAAAACAAAATTGCAACTCTCACTCCAACTTCAGAGTTTTGGTGCAGTTGCCGAAACTTTAAGCTAGTATCAGAGCAACCCAGGTTCGGTTCCCACTTCAACCTGCGGTGATGTTAGAATATATGTCCCCCTCACCGCAACCTCAGAGCTTTGGGCTTTAACAGATCGATTTTGTAAACATTAAATTTATCATAGAATTAAGTTGACATTTTATGGTTAAAGGTCCAAAAACATTGATTGCTTGGACCTTTAACCTCTGTTTTCGGTTGCTCTGTTTAGTTGCTTAGTCCTTGAATCAGGTTTGGGCGAAATTAGAGGCTTAAGTCGACATTTTATGGTTAAAGGTCCTAAAACATTGATTGCTTGGACCTTTAACCTCTGTTTTCGGTTGCTCTGTTTAGTTGCTTAGTCCTTGAATCAGGTTTGGGCGAAATTAGAGGCTTAAGTCGACATTTTATGGTTAAAGGTCCTAAAACTTGGCAGTTTTGAAAGCTCAATATTGATTGCTTGGACCTAAGAATATTGATTGGGTCGTCTCTAGATTTCTCTTTATTGAATCACTCGGTTTCATTTTGAATTGGTCACTCTCTCTTCCGTTTGAATTATGAGATGTTAGGTGAATCCTTAGTCTTCTGGTTATGAACTTGTAATCAATTATTAATTTCTGACTCGTGTATGGCTAAAGCAAGGGATTTAAATTGAGATTTGATGATGTGTATTCTGTAGGAATCTTATTCTGTAGGAGTTAAATTTCGGCTCGTGGCCAAATATAAGTCACTGGGGAGAGGCTCCTTACGCTATAAACATAAACATGCTAAGAAGACAAAGCTGAAGCTTGCATGTTCGATATAGTTCATAATATGCATTAATCGAATTCTGCATTTTCTCAGTTATCATTGTACATGAATACTGCAATAGTTACACTAGAAATAACCAATATGATGAATACTTTCCTCAATATTTTAATGCTCTCTCTCTACGGAAGATAAATCAAATTTATATAAAATAAAATACATTTAATAATCCCCACCTGATCCCTACTCTCATTCAACCAACGTACACTTTAATTCCCCGATCGTCAGTCAACACACAGTCACTACCACCTGATCGAATGGAAGCTGGATACAAGAATTTCTTAGCTCCAGTAGCCTCCAGTATCTTCTGGCTGAGAGTCTTGCCGGATGAGCTTCCAGGTTTAGCGACGTAGAACGAGCGAGAGAACCAGTCCACGATCTCTGGAGCGACGCACATTACCATGTGCAGAGGCCTGTACCATGACGGCCATGTCACGTAGGTGTCTCCTCTGCATGCGCTGTCGACTACCACTTCTGCGCACTTCTCTGTGTGTCCTACTGGTAGAGGGCCAACCTGAACCTGTAAAATTTGTATTTTATTAAATTGATTAATTATTTTATAAATTAATTATAAATCATCGTTAATTAATTTACGTAACTTAAAAAACAACTATTAAATCTTTAACAGTAGTTAGGTCGGAGGGTAAAAGTTAGGAAAGGGAACAAATTGAAGGGAATTTTAGCTACTTAACCTGTGTACGTGGATTTGTAGGTTCATATTTCGAGTGACGACCTCTGTTTCACTGGTCTAAAAGGGTTATTATAACTCTTTTGTAATTTTAGCATTCGGAAAATCAAATAGATTAATTCACCTTATTTCACACGTAATTTTTTTTTTTTTTTTTTGTATTAGACATGTATCAGACATGTTAGGAAGGACTGAACTCTTCTTAACACACCGAAAAATTGCAATTTTAGCACTTACATCTCTAACTTCTTCGTTGATCCCGTACTCTCCTCCTTTCTGAAGAGCTTTTCCCCTTGTGAGCTCAGAAGCAACATAGCCCAGTGTCAGTATGGTGATCTTAACCTCAGGGCCCAACTCTGCTCTCAAAGTCTCATAGAACCTAATAAGTGCACCTTTGCTTGCCTAGAAAAAAAAATGGTCATAACAAAAGTTAGAAACTAGATTGATCCTAGATTATGATGCTTAATTTAAACATGGAAATCTTACATTGTAAAAGCTCAATCTCGCAGTTGGAAGTCGACCAGCCATGGAAGCTGTGACGATGATATTTCCACGGCTTTTCTTGAGGTGAGGGATGGCATAATATGTCGGATATACGGATCCCCAGTAGTTGACATCCTGATAGAAATAGAATTATGGCAAGATTAGCCAATATTGTAAGTATTTTATGTAAGTATTTAAATTATGATCTGTATTATAGTCATTGGACACTACTCTGTGTATGAACAAGACATTTATATTGTGCGAATCGGTTTTATTTTTTCAAAATATGCTCTTATGACACTGCTTCAATACATTCCTGTTACTTATTTAACTTAAAAATACATGTGGTGTTGGGTTTTATTATTTGAGGAACTAAAATTTACTTAAAAAAAGTTAATTTCTCAAAACTCCCTTAAAATTTAGTCATTTGCTACATACACAGACGTACCCGCTCTCCCTCCAATTGATGGTATTTTCCTCAGTAAAATTCCCAAGTGGTCATTGATTCATCCATTGTAGAAATCTCCAAATTCATTTTATCGTTATTATAACTTTAATTTAAATTACACAAAATTGAGTATATTATACATATACATACAGAAATGTATTGCATTGATAACCATGTCATAAACTCGGAATTGTATGTTTTGTTACCATGACTTGTCTGAAAGCAGAGATATTCGTGATCTCTTCAAAGAGACAGCTCGAGAAAATTCCAGCATTGACGACCAAGTGATTCACTGCAAAGAGTACATAAACAACGATATCATATAGGTTCATTCGTTCGACGAAATCTTTTAGGTTCATTCGTTCGACGAAATCTTTGAAAGGTATGATTATGTTGACACTCACATTGTCCAAAATGAGCTATGGCTTCGTCAATAACCCTTTTGGATTCAGAGCAATCGGATATGTCCGCAGGGATCACGAGCACATCAGGAGCTCCGTTGTTTTTTGCAGCCTTGGCCACAGCCTTGAGCTCAGCCTCTCTCCTTGCCGCAAGCACTAGGTATGCTCCTCTCTTTGCATACCGATAAGCTAATTGCTGTTATAAGAAAGAGAAGAAGGGAGTGATGAGTTTGACTCTGATAATAAGTTTTTAGAGGAAGGAGTATATGTAAACTGTTAACTGTAAGATAACATTGCTCAAGCATATGAACTGTAGGGGTTAATGGCTGATAGACCCCTGTAGGTTTACTGTTTTAAACTTGCTATCCTTCTACTTTAATTTTTGTGGAGGCAACCTACTAGTGAAGTTTTTTTTGACTCTTTAGCCCTCGGAAAGAGAAGATTGCTTTCTGTTAAAAGAGACCCCAGAGGGTGAAAGAGTCAAAAAAAAATTTACTTACGGATGGATCTACAGGCGAAAATTTAACTAGAGGGGGTAAGCTCAAATTCAAAACAGCAAGGCTACAGGGTTCACGTTTTCGAAAAAGCCCGAAAATTGACTAATACATAAATAACAGAGATGAGCTTATGTCAACTTAAGTGGATATGAGGTATTGTCCACCAAACTTTGTATCCACTCATCTTGTCTTTAGATTTATACCATCAAGAGATGCATAAACCTCAAAAGACTCTTCATATCTTTCACGGATCCCAAGGCAACATCAATGGATAAAAAAGTTGGTGGATGATTAGCTCCTCTCCACTTAAGTTTACATGAGATTTTCTCTAAACCACATTTCGCAAGTGAAAAAACTAATGGGCTTTAAGGCTTTTGGATTGGGCCGTGGACTGAGCAATCGGTGGGCGCTTTTGATCTTTAGCGAGGCTGGACATTTGAGAGAATAAAAGTTGTTCACCCAACCACGAAATGAGATGGTTGGTTTGGTGATTGTGTAGAATGCAAAAGGGTAAATAATATATCTTGTGAGGAGACTGTTGAATAAGACAGGTGTTATGGGCAGTTAGGAGGTTGGGCTACCCATATTAGTTTTTAATATTGATGATTTTGTTAAAAAAAACAGTAATATGGACTATGACTGTCAACACTTATTAACATTAATTCTATATCTTATTTATTTATTGTTCATTTATCTTTCTCTTTTCTTTTGTTCATGATTTTGATGTGATCATGTCTATTGAGAGTAGGTTGTTGTTACTTTTTTGAAGCAACCATAAATTCCACCCTGCTTTTGGGTTTATAATTGACTGTGCTCCTACTTTCCTTTTGTTGTGGTGCAATTTAATGCGAACATGGTGATAACACAATTAATACATCACATATGAAAAGGAGTGCCTACACACAGGAATTTGTCCTTCAAGAGGTCAATTCAAAACCATATTAATGGCACTTATCAACCAAATCTGATACTGACAAACTTTGCTTTTAATATTAGAAATTTTTTTTTATATGTTCTCTTCTATACTTATACCCGGAGGATCTAAAGATTTACTATTTATATTACAGTAATACTACAATAAATTATTGTAACTATATTGTTGTAGCACAAACAAAACACTGTACCATTTAAAAATTTATTATGGTATTTACAAAAATATTGTGTATTTAAAAAATAACTGTAGTAAAAATAAAAAAAGGGTCTGTGCTTTGCACGGGGTGCACACTAGTATTCTAGTGAAAACAGTGACTGAGTCAACTCTCATACGCATGTAAAGAAGTTTTTAAAGAGAAAAAAGTGCAAATAAAAGACGCGTGTTTTTTTATTAAATCAAAATATGCATATCGATTGTTACGAAGCTTGAAAGTTTATTCTATAAGGAGGCACAAATTAATTAAGTTGCATTGTTACATTAATAGTACAATGTACAAACCCTCTAAACCCTTTGTGAACTCTTGTTAACATAACAAACCATTAAATAAATAAAGGACAACAAGGTGCTTTGTTACAATGAAAAATATGTTTATATCTTCTAAACTATTCACGCCATAAACTCAAAGCTAACCATAGGTGCGACTCTCTGCCCTTTTGATTAATCATTTTGTCACCCTTAAGCAGTTTTTTTAACCATCACTTTGGTGGCTAAGTTCAAACAAAACCATCTTCCCTCTTATCTCTACATATTATGTGGATGTCATATAACGTCAATATATGTCTATATATTACAGAGAAATCGATACTCTGATATTTCAATGTGTCGTAAAAAGACTATAATCTCTTATAGTTGTTGAACATACGCCTCGTACATGTAGCAAAAGAAATGTAAATGCCTTTGGATGTAAGAGAGCCTGAATGCTAATAATCTTGGGATGATACATGATTAACCCTATACGTACATGAGATTAGTGAAATTAAGGAATGGTATATGATTAATCCTCTCTAGTACATGAGATGTCTGCGCAGTTAAACCCGGAAAATGAGGATCGAAAGAGCTCACCTCTCCGATGCCTGATGAAGCGCCGGTGATGAGCACCACCTTCCCTCTCATGTCCTCTTTCAAAAATGGTCTTGCGAACACAAACACAGCCAATCTCCATAGCAAGGAGATTGGCACATACACAACCAAAACTATAGCAATGGCTACATGCACTAGTATACTCAAAACCCCATTGAAAAGATCCATGAGAGAGAAGAGAGAGCGAGTTTAGAGAGAGAGAGAGAGAGAGAGTTTGGATGGAGTTTTTCCTTTTCTTTTTTTAAGAGGTGAATTTAGTTCATGAGGCAACGGCCCTAATGAGCCTTTATATGCGCAGCAGACCATGGGCAGAGGTTTGTAGGTCCAATTAAAGGTAGGTTGCTGAGTTCTGGTCACCGTCCTGTGATTAATATTTACACACTTCCGAAAGTAACGGAGGAGAAACAACCCTAAGTGGTCCGTTGACTTGGGCTTGAGCGCCTTAGCACAAAAGTTAAAAGGGTTGATTGGTATCTATGACATGTCCATTTTTTAATTTTTAATTATTATAGGTATTGTAATATTTGTTTTATTCACTCTAAGTCTGAACTTTGAAAGAGGGGCATTGTACACCCCGGAATTTACTTGACCGGTACTAAGCCAAGTTCCTTGCAAATTCATAATAATAATGTAGGACGTTTAACGTATAATTTTATGGATGAGCGGGTCGATCACGAGCTAAATGCATGTATATACGTATTATTAACTTTCGCAAAGAAACGATCATATCTTTCAACTTGGAAGACAGATTCTGATATATTGTATATGTAAATCGATTATCTTGACGAGGGTGGGGCTAATCGGATGGTCAGATTTTCAAAATCTCATCACTAATGCCCAATTTTGATAGAAATTTGAAAATAACTAGTTTTGAGTTTATTTTTAATCCAAGATTTATTATTTCTGCGCTGCATTAAATAATAATAAAAAGTTATAATTAAAAAAATATAGTAAGAGAGTCCCATGATGCCAGTTTACTTTAAAGGGGGTATTAGTGATGGGACCCATGCTTCGTCATGAAAGCTTCACATAAGTCATGTAAGTCATTTTCAAGGAAAAACGGTAGAAAAGAAGCCAACTGCTTCCCAAAACTTTGCGTGAATTCTCAGCGTGTAAGTTTTAAGATAGGTGTTTCTACAAGAAACATAGCTCATGAAGATCTTTTCATGATTTTTTTATGAGGCATGAAACTGGGGCAAGGTAAGTAAAGAATTTATTAACTAGAAAAATAGATGCAAATTATACATGAATTAAAATTGAGAGAAGGGATCTGAAATTCTGGTTAAAAAAAGAGATCTAATTTATGAACTTTCTAGTTGTACTAAAGAAAACTTTATAAATTACATTAGGACTATAATAAAAAAATAGAAAACACAAATTCAAAATTATCCCTAGATATTTGTTTTACATGGGCTAATAAAGTCTACAACGCACCAATGATAACAATGCCTTTATGATAACTTTTTTGTGTCATGTACATAATTCTTTCACTTTCTTAAGTTAATTGCCATCGCATCCTTCTTATTTGCTTTTAAGTTCTCTAGAACTTTTGCTTATCTCTACTATCTCTTGTCTCATTAATTATAATATATTACTTTTCATAATTAAAACATTTTATAAAAAAAATCTGTTGCTTGTATAAGATCAAACCATTTCAATTGAAACAGACGTATTAACCATAATAATAGAAATAA